AAGGAAAAAGTAGCACTGTCCGTTGAGTTACTCCTTGTCTAAGTACGTTTCTCGTACTTAACTTTAGGGTATTTAGATGTGATTCTCCATTATCCACTCCTGAAAGAAGCCCAACTGAATTGAACATGATTGAACCCTAAGCGCCTGCTCCTGGGAGGAGAAGCCCAACTGAATTGGAGACGTACGGCTGGGCCAGCTGTAGTGACTTTTCTCAATGATGGGCTTGGCTGTACAGGAATTTTGTAGTGGTGTTATAGGGATAGGGGCCAAAAAGCGAATAATCATATGCTAAAGCAAACGGAAGCTGAAATGGAGACTGGGGGCACAAAGGTATACACAGCGATTTGAGATCTAGGGATGTAAGATAGTACTCCGCCCCTCCGCAAACCCCAAATGAAGTGACAAAACAAGTTGAACATGCAATGGAATAGGGGGAGGGGCCGTAGGTGTGTATAGGGTGTGGAATATATTTGCTGAAGAGGTTTACCTGCTGAAAGAAGATGAAAACTGCAGTACTGGGGATTAGCTAAGGGCTACTGCACAATGGAGATGCAATCCAAGTCATCACTATCTGGTCAGGAGAAGGACCCGATAGGTATAATGGACTTGGCAAAAGTGGCTCGAGGATCATGGAAGTTAGTATTCACTTATATACAGCTTGGGCTTTAGGCCTACGTACATATGGTTGGCTTATCCCTTTAAGGGTGAGTTCTAAGTAGGCATAACCGAGGTGTGGGTACTTACTACGTCCCATGGGCCTCCAAGCTTGGTCTGGGGAAGATCTTGGCATGTCGAAGGACGCAGTTTCGGGTTTAGGGTTTAGGCAGGGTGTGCGGTTGTGTCCACTTCGTGTTTTAATGAAGTCTGGAAGTCAGGCCAGGGAGCGCTTGTGCTCCCGGAATAAGCATGGACATAGACAGCCAGTAGCCCACAATTCTAATTTATCACTAATATTCTACTAGTTGAAGTTGTCCCTTTTGTGAGTAACTCGGCTTGCCATGGAAGCCCGACGTGTGTAACTGGCTAAATATCCTGAACCCCCTAAGCCGTGAGGCCCATACCCTAAACCCTGAAGCCGATACCTGCTACATCCCTATTCTTAACTAGAAGGCTCAGAGTTTAGGTGGGATTTCTGGGAATTCATCTCTAGTTATATTGCAATAGGGGATCTACGGGGATTACATATGAGAATGCAGGGCTTAGGGCTTAGGAGATATTACCCCCGATGACCGAGAATCAAACGCAAATCGAGTGGAAAATGACATGGAAATTGGGATTAGAGGCTTGGAGTTTAAGGTTTGCAGCTACCTCTAAACCCCAAACCCTGAACCCTAAACCCTACCCCAACCTAAACCCTCAACCCAAAGCCCCCAGGTGAAGTCAAAGATCCCGAGACGAAGAGGCTGTTTCCTTTGGCTTTAAGGGATTTGGGTAGCAGGGGGTTGGGTTAAGGGCTTACGGTTTAGGGGAAGTGGGATTTAGATTTTAGGGTTTCAGATTCAAGGGTTTAGGATGTAGGGTTTAAGGGTTTGGGGATTTGGGTTAGGATTTGCAGGCTGAGGGATTGGTATGTAGGGCTTAGGCTGAAGGGTTTGGGGAAAAGAGGCCTGGAGTTCAGGGGCTTAGGGATTTGGGGTTTCCGGGTTTAGTGCCTAGCAGGAGATGCAGAAAAGGATCCGTAGAGCCGAGACACTTCAATTGTTACTTCCCCATAATAGGTCCTAGATCCCATCCCCATACAATTCCTATACCCGAAATCCTCTAAACCCTAAAACCCGAATCCCCAAACCATGGAGAGTAAGCACCACGAAGTAGGCGCTAAACCTAAACCCCAAACCCCCTTAAGTAGATAGAATATAGCCTTGGGTATAATAAGATCCTTATGTATCCCATAGTCTATCCATTTAAGGGGGGTTATACCCTAAACCCTAAACCCTAAGCCCAGCAAACCGAGGTACATGGACGAAGGATGCTACAAGCCCTTGTATCGGGACGAGGGCATGTGGGACGCTGATTGGATGCACATTGGTTTAGGGTTTAGGGTCTTATATGGGCCTGGGAACTAGCTAAATGGTTAGCAGCGGAGTGGTTATACCGGCTTATAATCATAATATTAACCATTTAGCCAATTCCCAGGCCATCTAAGCAGAGCTTTTCCTGCCCTGTGAGAATACAAAGATTTAAGGTTTAAAGTTCCGGGCTTAGGGCTCAGATATTTAGGGCTTAGGATCGTTTCGGGCCGCTGAAAATGCACCCAAATGGGTACCGCTCAAAATATTCCCTACATGATCTTGGATTACTAAGGACTCTCCATAGTCTTATTGTCGTCCCTATGTGTACCCATAGGGCATTGCTGGTCTGCTCCAATTTGAAGAAACCCGCACACAGATCCTCTGCAAGAACCGGCTTCTATCATGGTCCCTACACCCTAAACCCTAAACCCTAACATAAAACTACTGGTACCTGTCCTACGACTATAAACTGTAAACCCTAAACAAGTATAAAGGATTGTCTTCAAGCACTGGAGGTTCTCTTTACCGAGTGGGGCACTTTAGCGCCCTTGGATGCGAAAGTGGGCGATGCTGTGCCGTTTGATCGCGCAACTCGCCTGGTGTGGTCTGAGGCCCCAAGTAGCCCCAATGCAGGTCATATTCTGGGTTGCTGTTGAGGAATTTACACTAATTAAGTTAGTATTCACACGCAGCTGAGATGCACGCGCCCAGCACTGCAATGCAAAGCGATGCGGCGTGCACGAACTAAGTTACCATGATTTGGAAACCGTAGAATTTGCTGTTTACTTATGATATGGTCACTTAGTTTAAGTTCCTTAACATCAACCCAGTATTTGTAGACTTTAGGGCACACTGTAAGCCCCAGGGGTAGGGTTTAGTGTTCAGGACTTGGCCATTTTATGGGCTTTGGGTTTTGGGTGTAGGGCTTCCGCAGCTTGCTTGTGAGCAACTGCAGTGTACCACTTGCTGAAGCATGTTCATTTGAGTTTTGCCAGCTGATATCAACGGCTCAGTGTTGCTTTCACTCAGCCCCCAAGCTTTCAATCACAGATGTTGATGGGTAGTATTTGAATTGCAAAGCCCGGCATGTTTGAGTCGTTCTGAAACCCTCATTTGCTGGCATGTCTAGTGAGCTTCCTTAGCCCCAGCATTAACCCCTACACCCTAAACCCACTCTCGCCCGCACAGTTGGAGAAATAAGGCGAAGGAGTACACACAGCTTCACTGTCGACGCACCTGGGCAGCCTGGCTGCACATGAGCTGTAGCCTAAACTCCTTAAGGGGGGGTTAGATTGGGAATTATATAGGGGACTATTATAGGGGTTATTAAGGGGATACTAGGAGTTTAGACTAGGGCTCACATGCTCTTCATGGAGCACCCTGAACCCTAAAGCATTCTAAGACCTAGATTCTAAACCGTGTTGATCAGCTTAAGGAGGTCCATGATGCTTGGTTTTTACGGCCTAGGGATTCACATGAAGTCATGTAGGGAGTCGCCTATCAAAAGTAGCACGGGCTTGTGTCTTCATATCCCTCAAATACGCGCCAGACATCTTTTGTCATGTAAGCTGTGGCTGCTACGTTTACTGGATGTACCTCTCCAGTGGTTAACCTTTAACTTTTTTTAGGGGGCGATGGTAATATAAAGCCTACTATAAGCAAAAAGATTGACTTTGGGAAAGCCTTACATCTTGGAAATAGGATTGCGCACAGGATCTCTAAGAAGAAGGAATGTTTCCTCTGTCGTGTCGCAGATGCCCTGCAGACACAAGGGGGGGAGCATATAGTATATAGGAGTGATATAGGAGTGGTGCATGGAAACTACTATAGTGGGTTATATAGGAGTTATATACGGTATATGTTTGGGATATATTTGGAGAATGGAAACTAAAGCGGAAACTACTAACTAGGGTTTCTACTCATCTGGCCAGCCAAAACATCAATGTCATTCCCACTTTTGTGCTTACACATCATTGGAACTACTAGTAGCCTTACTTTCAGTAGAACCGTACTAGCTTTGCTATTACCGTTATTCCTACTACTAGTACTATTCTGCTTAATGCAAGGCCCTCGAGGTAATCAACCGTCATCCGTGTGGATGCCTATAGCCTTCTGCGATTCTGACCACCCCTCAGTGCAGACCCCAAAGCACTAAACCCTGAGACTCCCTAAATTGGCTTGCTGTGTCAGAAATGAACTTAATTAGCTGCTATAGTATGGAAGCCTTAAAGTACACTATATACCCAGAATATGGTAACTTAACTGAAGTTCCGTAACAGCAACCCATCAAAGAGGAGACGCGCGTTCTGGATCCTTTCAACCAGATGATTGCTGGCTTTCGCCGAGTTATTCCCAGCACTAAGCGCCTGGGCTGAACTTGCAAGTTACGCGAGAGTGCAAATGAGAATAGAAACCCTAAACGCTAAGCCCTAAACCCTAAACCTTAAGTCACCTATGTGAGCTGCGGCCTGGGTTCAATGGATTCTGCCAACGATTTCTTCCGGTCAGTGCTGGATAGCACTACCTGTCAGTAAGGGTTTAGGGTTTAGGGTTTAGGGTTGATAGTTTTGATGATAAGCCCTTCAATCCTCATATAACCCTCTAGAGGCCTGTTTGGAGTTTTTTGGCCAGTTAGCTACTTCCCATCTCATCTAAGTAGCCTCACCTTTAGCCCCTGCGTCGAAGCTCATGCGTTTCTTTATAGAGCATGTGCAGGGCTAGGACTAGGAGGTATTGAGGAGTTTTGGGGTCGAACTTGCGGGGAGGGTGATGCGGCACAAGGAGCTTTGCAAATTTCAGTGAACAGTTGGGAGGCCTGATCCAGGCATATGGGATCTGAGACGGGACCTGGGTGTCGCTCGAAATGCTCCACGCATAATCTGTAATCAGCACCCCCAGAACTCCCCTTCCAATCCCTAGACGGGTTGGCCCCTTTCGCTATTATATTATATTATGGCACTTAATGTTTAGGGGTACCAACTGCCCATATAACCCTAAACCCTACATAAACCCTAGCTAGCAGCTTCCATTTTCTTTTCCATCATCCCTAGATAGCGCATATAGACCCCGATATACACCTAATTTTTGGAAGTACCCGGGTTTTGCAGGGGCCTCCCACTTCGGGAGACTCGGATTTGTGAAAGAAATGAGCTCCAAGCTTGATAGAGTGTAGGGTTTAGGGTTTAAGGTTCAGGTTTCAGAGTTTAGGGTTTAGGGTTTGGGGTTCAGGGTTTAAGGTTTAGTGTTAAAGGTTTAAGGTTCAAGCTGTGGAACAAAACCAAGCCCTGCAGCTTTAATCATCTGGCTCATGACGGCAAATCATTCACTGTTTGGAGGATGCTAGCTGCTAGTGCGCAAGTCGGGGTTTTGGGGAGGTTGGTAACCCCAACCTTATAAACGAGGATCCTATGACTGTCATCTTATAAAGCTACGGTCCTAATTTCGGGGGTGGGTTACCGAAATCCTTTTATCTCCAAGTCCCCCAACCCCAAACCTCAAGCCCTAAAACCCTAAACATTAGACCCTAAACCCTCAATCGTAACCCCTAAACCCTAAGCCCAAAACCTTAAATCCTAAACCCTGAAGACTAGAAGAGCAGGTTCTGGCGGAAGGTCACCGCTTTCCAGGAGTTGCACCTGGGCAAACGACATCGGCTTTGCAGAAATTAGCGGGGTTCCCAAATACCTGTAGCCAATAGCCCTTTAACCCTAAACCCTAAACCCTTTTAACCTTAAAGTGGTTGGCACGCGGGCTTTTATTCTGGCTTTTTGGCAGGTCTACATGAAGTAGACCTTTGAACCCTCCATCGGCCCCTGGTCTACGTCTATAGCTTGCAGGACTTACGTTGTGCTGGGGGCACGCAATCTGGGACACATGCAGAAACAAACCATCAGCACCTGCATTTCTGTGCATTTCTCCAGCGCAGCATGTAAGTACTTCCTGATCCGGGTCAGTTGTAGCCCACCGTGAGTGGCAGTATCGCCGGCTTGGTTAAAAGGTCCTAAGTAATTATGCCCGGAGTCATGTTGGGGCTAGAAGTACATGGCTGCATGTTTTTATGAGGGTTATGACTATGCTAGACATCCAAGAAGGGCCGGCGACCGGAGGTTGGAAGAGCGCAAGTTTTGTTGACATGCCGCTTTTGGTTGGACATCAAACCCTAAACCCTAAACCACAAAAAAAATCTAAACTGTCTCATCCCCGGCTTGCCCCGCAAGCCTGGGCATCAAATCCCCTCTGCGAATAATGCCAGTAATGCCTCCCTCCCCAACTTCCTGACAGCACATAGGGGTTGCTCTAATTTTGTTTGTAATATGGGTCACTGTATATGTATATATATATATATATGTAGCGGGGCTCCCATGATAATGCGGGCCCTCATATAACATGTGCGACTTTCTGCATTTGGGAACGGTAACTCAAGTCAAGTTCCACATGCGCTCCATTTAACGTAGCGATGGGAATATAATTGGGTGGTTGTCAAAATTATGATCCCTTCTTGGGTGCCCTAAATATTAGGTGCTATATCATAATAGGGATCCAAAAAAGGGACCACAAATTTGACAACCACCCAATTTTAAAACCTCCAACCCTTAACCCTAAACCGCGGGGTGGAGTGGGGAGGGGGGAAGCAGGTGCGAGCAACCGCATACAGCCCGGGCGGAGGTTTAATGATAAACCCTCAACCCTACCTTCACCCCAAAAGTATGTAAAATAATGGCCCTGATGGCTGTTATTATGGGTTTAGGGCCATTATTTTACATACTTTTGGGGTTTAGGTAAATCCTTCAACTCTCATGAAAGAGCACAGGAAGAGGCTCGTGGAAGGGAATCCCACGATCAACTTGCGAGCCTTTTTGGAGGCTGGACGCCAGAAGCCTACAGCTTAAGGTTTAGGGTTGAGGGCTATGTGTTCGGAGCCCCCCCATCCTGCAATAGTGGTAAAATAGGAATATACTCGGACCCTTATATACTCCTTATTATCCCTTATAGTCACTATTATTGGGTGGGGGGGTCCACCTAAGCTATGTGGGGTTTGCAGAAGTTGGGGGTGCCTGTTGAGGGGCATCCAGTAGCTGGAGGATGCATAGGGGACCCCTATGCTCATTTGTAGAAAGATTGGAATACCTCGACCTCACCCCAAGTTATATGGCAATGGCCCCAAAAGCGGAGTATGCATGAATCCCGTCTTAGGACGGGAGACCATGTGCGAAAGGACCTTCAGGAAATAGCAGGTGCCCGCGTAACTCTACCGCGGAACTCAGTAAAGTCTTTCCACTTTTCTTGTTTATTGGGCAGTTCTTCGTTCAGGTTTGTGAGGTCAAGATATCGAAGCCGTGTTGCGCAAGAACTTGTATGGCTAAACCCTAACCTTAAACTGATGCGTGCCATGAGCCGGAGGTACCCCCAAAAAAGTTGTGGGTAGGGTCAATCTCCCCCACAGGAACTGTCCTTGAACTTGTTTTGGTTGCCATTATACCTATTGCGGATACACAAACCCCATGACACAAAGTACCATGAACCAAGGGAATTGTGGTATCATAGTATATCAAGGTCATGTAGGGTTTTCTACCAACAGTATACCCGATTGTAGCAACGGGTACTATAGGGGGGAAGACTTAAGGTGTTGGATAAAAGTTGGATACTGCCCCCACTCAGTACCAGTTGGAGAATAAATATTTTATGGTTATATATAGCCATAAACGAGACCCCTAATATAGACTGTTACTGGGTGGGGGCAAAACCCAAGATAAAAGCCTTGCGGTCAGCCATACATCCGGAGACTCGCAGCGCCCCGCACATTAAGATTAGTGTACTTTGAGGGTCATGTGGACTTAATGAGTAGCTTAAGAGCTGGGATAACTTGAGTGAAGCCCTAAACCCTAAACTTATATGGTTCGCAGGTGTTATAGGTATACTTCCTATGCTGCACAGGCAGAATTCCCAGGGTTCACATACCTTAGGTGATGCAGGATTGTGCCCTAAACCCTAAACCCTAAACCTCCATGGGCCGCGAGCCATGCCTGGCCTTGGGTATCAACGCTTCTTCAAAGTTTGCAAGATGCATTTCGTCATCCCGTGCTTGGTGGATTCAGCTCAGAAGTCAGAGCTGCCAAAGATTTTTGGGCATGCAAGCTTACACTTGGGTCCCCAGAGCCCTGAGCCTTCAACCTCTCCAAGCCCACACCTTTAGCCCCCTAGTAAGCCTCCACCCGGAGCAATGAATTCAAACCCAGATCCTAAGTCTGCCCTCCCGCACCCGCACGAATAAACTTTGAGAATATCCCCAGGGTTTAGAGCAAATCTACTCAGGGCGACGCTACCTGTATCACTACTAAACTGCGTTGCTTCTGCTGCTACTAGTATAAGCACCAACTACCACTGCTACTACCGTTGCAATAACCGACTATTGCGCTTCCTTCCATGAAATCTGTGATTTCTCTTTGAAGCCAGTACCTGATTCTTTCCTGGAAGGCAGCTAGATTCGAAAACTTCTCCGAGATGGAAAAGCAGCTGTTCTTTGCGGTCCTTGCCGATCTCCAAGCTCAAGGCGTAGGCACGGAATGCTATTCTTCCTATTGGTTGTTCATAGACCCCCAAACTAGCACTGATGCATTGACATTTCCATGTGGTTGTCCACAGTTTCATTCCTTGGGACCCCTAAACTCTTGTAATTCGTACAGCTTCAGCGTAAGGTGGCGAGAGATTTTCCCCATCAACCGTAGCAAGATAGAAGAACCGAGGGGAGCCCCATAAAACGTTCTGGCGCCCACCAAACCCTACGTGAACCCTAAACGGGATATGGGTCTTTGTAGTAGCTTCCTTGATGTAGGAAGAGCGCTGATATGGGCATTCTTCTGGGTTGAAAGCCAAGGCAGTAAGCGGTGAATCTCTAACTGTGGCTTCGGATTTAAGAGTTTAGGGTTTCGCATGGGGCCATTACGGAACCCCACAAATTCCGGACTTGTTAGTTGGGATTGTTGGAGATGCTTTGGGCTTAAGCAAGTAAGGGGTTACAAAAGTAGGTACTGTAATTCCATAGGATTTCAGGAGCTAGTGAGGACTATATAGGGCTATTAATATGGCTTAATGGGGTTCTAATCTGGGGATTACCTTTGGGGGGGGGGGGTGGTGCGATTCTAATCCCGTACTGAGGCTTATGAGCGCTTATTTGGGCTGATCTGTCTCGGCGGGCGCGTATTGGGGGCCCACGGCGGTCCCAAGATTCATTCTACCGGCTCTTCAGGATTAGGGCTTAGGGTTTTGGCAGCGCGCTTTGTTGTTACAGGATTCTAGCATCCAGGGCGACGCTGAGTTCCGCGCAAGCCAGTCTGCCCATTGCTGAATTAGCCTTACTCCTACATACAATCTTTCACGCCCCTATATCCCCAATTTCCATTGCATTGTCTTTTTCTTTGCCATTTGATTCTTCACTGGTCGTATCGCAGGCCGGAACCTAAAGGTGGATTGTCTACGATTTCGAGCATCTTCCTTTGCAGAAAGCTTTTGCTTCAACAGTATGGGAATCTGTCAAGATAAGCGCTGTAGAATCCCTACTAGGGACCCCCCACCTCCCCTGATACTCCCTGCAAACTATTGGGGCCCCTGAGAAAGCCACATATCGCAGTTGAAAGGTCTGCCTCCTATGCAGCAGCCGCTCAACCAGTTAGTGCGCTTCTTTACTGGATCCTACAAGGACTCTTGCTGCATTTGAGGTTTAAGGCTTAGGGGGTTTAGGGGTCTAGGTTTGCAGATACAACCAGACGATTGCTAGCTCGTAAAGGTTGAGTTCAAGAACTTGCAAATTATGGGCGCCTTTTCCTCTCCCCAGAATTTGTGGGGAGTGTAGAACACCGATGCGTGGAAGCGTATTGGAGGAGGGAAGTAGACTCCTCACCCGACTTGGTGCAAATCTGTTCTCGTTGCTGCATTTTGGCATCGTATGCAGCATTCGTGCTCTTGGGTTAAAGGGCGGTTCATTCTTTGTTAGAGGAAATTCATCATATCCTTCGTCCTGTTAGAACCCCAGTGTAGAATATCCACCCGAATCCAATTCAGATTATTAAGGTCCCTGCATTAATCATCCCTATTCCAACCTTTATGTCATTCTGGATATTTAGGTCCCTACATTAATCACCCCTTAACCCTCCACTTTAAACTCCTAAACCCTAAGCCCTTAGTATGTCAACCCAGATTCCATTTCATCTTTCATGTTCTTTTTTCATCTGCGGCCCTACGGGCCTAAACCCGAAACCTTGAATAACTGGTCACTACATGAGCTAGAGTCTAAACTCCTTAAAGGGGGGTTATAGGGATTATATAGGGGACTACTATAGGGCTTATTAAGGGGAATACTAGGAGTTTAGACTATAGCTCACATGAATTTCCGGGGTACCCAAAATCTGTGGATAAATCTTGTAAGGACCTCAAGACCCCATAGCAATCGGTAATTCCTGGTTTATAGCATGTATAGGGTGGTCATCTACCGTAGAAGGGGCCGTATACTACTGGGAAACAGGAACCAGGATTTTTGACAACTTTTTATGTGCAATATGCTTCGAAGAGCTCCATGGATTTCCCGAACTCTGCTGAAAATGCCTTGTTCCACCGTTCGATTTCGCTTTGGGGTTCAGATGGTAGGGTTTCGGATGGGGGTTTAGGGTTTGGGGTTGGGCTGAGGGTTTCCAAATCTATTTGGTGGCTCATGGGATTTAGTAAGCTAACCTAGTTTGGGTATCAGCAAAGAACTCAAACCTCTACTCTGAGGGCGGGGGGAAATACGGGGATAGCGGGCACTATTGCATCGCTTTTATGTTTATGTGAGCTTTAAGTAGACTTTCTAAGTTCCCACAGCTCTCCGAGCAGAAGTATGCTTGATATCACCTTCGATATGGCTAACCAGGATCTCCAGGTAGACCGTAAACAGTAAACCTCCAAATTTCTACCATAATGCTCTTAAACCTAATCTCCGAACCGATAAACTCCCAAAATTCTCACCTTAAACCTCAGAATCTGGGCCCTACAACCTAAAAGCTCTCAATATTTGTTTTCCGCAAGCCAGGATCCCGTGAGAGGGTGGCACAGTGCTGACCCTGAAGTGAGGAAGATCGCCCAGGCGGCTGCCAACTGAAGTTATTTACAGCTTGAAAGCGGTTTAGGCCCCTGGGATATTTAATAATTTCCCTAATAGCTCTAATAAGGGACCCTATATACTAATATTTGTCAAAGGGTTTTGAAAGTCCATGGGTACTTGATTGGAGTATGGAGGGAGGGGAGAAATGGAAACTCCAAGGTTTTTTGGGGCTCAGTGTCAGGTGGAATCACTTCGTAATTGGAGGATGGAAACTGCGTTGTCATCAGGATGAGGGCGCGGCTTAGGGTGTAGGGACTTAGCAAGTAGGCCTTGAGAAAAGATAGCTGTGTCATTCTGGGGCTTATAGGGGGTTAGAACTATATTGGCTACGTCCTCCGGATTCGGCTCCCAAGTAGTTGCAAGTGGGGCTTAGTGGTTCTATGCAGTACAGAGGGCATGCCTTGTGCTTCAGAGCTTCTCAGAACTGGGGGGTTACGAACAAGTGGGGCGGCTAATGCCTAAACTATGACATATATATTTATATATGTGTATGTAGAGAGAGAGACAGAGTTGCCCTTCCAGTCACCTCATAATTAGGGCTAAGTCGGCATGCCTGACTATATATACATGTATGTATCTGAGAGATGGCATTCCTGCTGGCAACATGCACATTTGCTTGACGGGCGCCCTTTAACCCTAAACCTCTAAACCCTAAAGCCTAAACCCTCAAGCCCATATACATAGAAATGTCATCCATGCACGCGACTTGGGAAAAGGACCGCCTAGAAATAAATTCTCAGTAGAAGAGAGCCCAACCTGCGCGATTAGGCTTTTTGGAAGTAGAAGCGCGTTTGAGGCCTTTCGGAACCCATTCCCCTTCAGGCCTGTTGGAGCGGATTTGGTCCTTTTTGATCAATTTGCGCTTCTCGGCGCCTTCTGGGGCTTTGTTGGAGCCAGTTGAGCCTCTTGGAGTGAACTTAAAGATTTTGAAATCATTTTCGACCTCTTGGAGCCAATTCCAATTCTCTTTTTTCCTACACCCTAAACCCTAAACCGTGCCTGCACTGCTGTGCGATGCGCTTGTCAAAACCCGAAAACTGCTTTGAGCCTGTTGGAATGAATGTGCTGCCTTTCGAAACCTCTCCGCCTTCTAGGCCACCTTGGCCTGTTGAAGCCACTTCGGGGTCTTTTGGAATTAGTTCAGGCTTCTTGAAGTTTTGTAGCCAATTTGAAGCTTCTGAAGCCGTTTTGAATTGTTTGGGGCCGCCTTGCTTGTTTTTTACTGATAGAACCAACTTGTGCCTTTTAAAGCAAACTTGAGCAATTTAAGGCTTTTTGTTGCCATTTCGGGCTTTGGAGCCAAAATCTGCGCCAAAATGTTGCCATTTGAGGCCAGTAGTCAAAGCCATGCAAAGCTTCCAAAAAAGGTTGCGAAGCGGCGTTGAGAAGCACAAAAAAGTCATTTTTTGAGTGAAGTTCCCAAGGCAAGAGCAAAAGAAGAAGGCCAGTCAAAACCCGTTCAAAAATCGGTCAAAACTCTGGACACGGACCCGATACATTTTCTGTCAATGTATCAGCGCGACCTCCATTTTTGGAGTACCTACACCAACATTCCCACACCCTGATCCCAAGAATGTCTCTGTGGGTGTAAGTTAGGGTTTAGGGTATTCCCCTGCTTTTGCACGTAGCACAGTAAAGATAGGATCCACAATCCACTGTAGGCCTCCGCCGTGTCTAGGTTCACAATTTGCCTGCCTCTTTGGGCCCACTTGGAGGGTCAGGGGCCTTAAGTAGGTATACCTAAAACCCTCATAACTAAGCCATACAACAACCCAGCTATTGTTATTGTTATCCCACTCCCTCCAAGCATGTGCTCGCCTTGCAGTTGGCAGCACCCGACTTGCCTAAATCCAAAACTTTTCTGGTTTGCTGCTAAGTAACTTAGATTGGGTTTCCATCATGTGTCCATCATGTATGTACAGGTGTATATATATATATAGAGTAAATCATAGGGCTTCCCCAATAGAGTAGCTTAGATTAAGTTCCCTTAGCAGCATCCCAGTTTTCCGCAGGAGAAAGACCAGAAGTGCGCCCCCCTGGCCGCTCACACTTGCTACGCGGATGCCGTTCAAAGAGACTAACACAAGGCTAACCTCAATCCCTAAACTCTAAGCGCCTCCTAAGCCCTAAGCCATAAACCCTAAAACTAATACCCTAAGTGAGGCCAAAGCCGCATGATGTAAAGACCTGTCTTCAACATAACTTTTCTTGAACCTGTACTCAAGGTCCCGTACTGGGAAAGTCGTCCAGTTCTTGTTGGGAGGCTTGCGTTTGTACGGTCGTTTGGCCTAGGTTTCGTGGCTCGTAAAATTGGAGGTCTAGGGATTTGGGTGTCAGGCTTAGGCTCCTTTTGCTTGCTGGCTGTTAGTAGGGAATGAAGGATTGAACAAAAAATCGAAGCTGGTATATTAGTGGGGGCTACAGGGATCCATCCCCCCATTCGTTTCTAAGAGCTGGTAAGCTTCGAGCGGGCATCTAGGCAGACGAGGTCTCTTGTTACCGTCTGCGAAGAGTGAAAGTCTAGGTGCCATCTGCGTTCAAGCAGCCAACCACTATGGGCTATTAGACCTTAAGGGTACCTTAATCTACCCTTAATAGGGTCCTAATAGGGAATTTTAGGGTCTAATAGCTCATAGTGGAACGGCGAAAGCATTTCGTGTTGAAGGCAGGAGGGAGGCTGCACAGGGTGGGGCTGGGGTTCCATCATCTGGGTTTGCGGGATCATGGAATCGTGCTGAAGGTATAATCCCCTCCCCCGAACAGTAAACTTCCCAACCCCCTCTAATATTAAATAGTCCCTAAATATATATTACAATATACCTACATAACTACAGAATGGGAGTATTTGGTATTAGGGGGGTGGGGGGCCTAAACCCTAAACCCTAATAATAACCCCCATATACCCCCTTTAAGAAGGGGATTATGGGGCGTAAGTTGAGATTCCTGGGCTTCTGAATGCACCTCGGACTAGTGCTCAAGTAATCTGTTGATACTAGATGTTTAGGGTTTGGGCCTGAACACGCAGCAGCCCTCTCGCAGCAAACATCATAAGCAAAGTAGGTCTGGCCATTTACTTACTAGGGGATGGTCGGGAATAGGAGAATATATTATGTAAGGAACATATATGGATAATATTCGCTTATTCCCTACTCACCACCAGTAAGTAATATAGGAAGGTGGTCATTACTGGACTTCGAGAAGCGGCTTTCCCTTGCCTGGTGCCAAAGGGCATTTCATTTGTCCAAAATTACTGGGAGTAATGTATCCCGCCCTAAACCCTAAACCCGAAAAGTATTAAGAAACACAGGAGGCAATCCCGATTGCGCATCTGGCAGACCCGCCAGACTTCTTCTGACTTCGCCCTTGGAGTACGTAATGAGGGTGGCCGCGGAAGCCCCAGCCTGGTGGACAGCCTGGGCCCTAAACCCACCCTCTGCAAAGAAAAACCATTGTTCATTGGTCGAAGGGCCGCAACAAGCTTCAAAGAATCTGCCTTGAAGCCCAGCAGCTTTACCAAAAGGCTCCTCAGCTAAGGTGTGTTAGGTTGAGGGCTTGGAATTGAAGATTTGTGTGAACTATAGTCTGAAATCCTAGTATCCCCTTAATAAACCTTATAATAGTACCCTATATAGCCCCCTATATAACCCCCTTAAAAGAGTTTAGACTATAGCTCCTGAAGTGTTGAAAGGTTGAGGTATTGGGGATTAGGATTGGGGCAGGAGGTGGCCTGGTTGGATTTAGGCTTAGGGAAAAGCCCCCCCAAAGCCCTAAACACAACAAACCCTAAAACCTGAAGCCCTACATAAAGGCAAGCAACGCTCAGGCTACTCCATGCTCGACGTCCCTGAAAACTGTCTGAAAGATCGTGCCTTGCCTGTTTGATGCAGTACAGGATTTTGGGGGTCCCTATAATGCGGAGTATAGTATTTTGGAGTCTATATTGGGTCCCCCTAGTTTGGTAAACTACCATTTCCTATAGATGACCTACAAGGCGGCGCTCATAGGGCTTTACTTCTAAGCACAGGGCACGGCTTTTGAAGGCAAGTTGCGCCAATGGCCCGATTCAGCTTCAGTTTTTGGAGGTGTTCTTCCCTCAGGCGTTCTCACAGTATCCTAGTATTCATGACGAACCAGATCATAGATACTCCCCGCAAAGATTCCAACCCTGTTTCCCTACTCCAGGCACCCGAAGAGGAGACCATAATGGCACCCTAACCCCAAAGATCCTGGAAGGTCTACAGTCGGGCCAGGTTTGATCGCTCCGAGATTTCAACATCGAATCACCTCCTCAAGTCCGAATTATCGTCCCCCAAGCTAACCTGAAATTTGCGCAGAGGCTCCTTTCGGAATGACAGTCGTGTTTATAGGGCGCCTTTGCAGGTTGCATGTGAGGTAAAGGGAATGCGGCGCTTCAGCGTTTGGGATTTTATGCTTCGTATTGATGGTTCCTACCAGGAGTGCAACTGGCAGCTAGACAGAGGTAGGCGGAGGACTCCGGGGATCATTTTAATTTCCCTTATTACTGCATACGCAAACCCGTTCCTCAGATAAGTTTTGGTGCCTTCAAATACAACCCAATTCAGAATACGCAATTATCACCAGCACCTGCCGCCTATGACGATTCAAGGCTTGCAGTACACCGAAAGGAGAGACGCGCGAAGGGCGTTCTCAAAAGTATGCTCCCCCTGCCTGCTGGTCCCACAGGAGCCTTCCCTTGTTTTCGAGAATATTATGGAGGACACAGACCTTTTGAGAAATTCCCATCTGACCTCAGCGTAAAGGAACATACAAGGCAAAGTGCTGGAGGAGATCATTCTCGAGTCTATTGCTACAGAGGACGGACGCCTAGGGTTTTGGATGTTGGGGTTAGGGTTTGGGGTTTAGGGCTTGAGGCAACGGGCTGGGTGTTTTGGCGACCTGGGCCCAAGCAACACTTGTAAGCCCAATTACTTACAGTTTAGTAGGGAAACCCATAAAGCTTTGGTAATTGGCGTTCTAGGCAGCTATAGGAATTTATAGGGCATAGGTTAGACAATGCCTGGTTGCTGTTGATGTTCTTGGTCTACGTGTATATGTGTCTTTCCAAGAATGTGGGGAAAACTCGTTTATGCGCAAAGACATACCCTGTACCCTGAACTCTCAAACCTTGAGCCTACGTGTATATACGTATATATATATATATATTCTTGCAGCGGCCGAAGCCCATTCAGCGGTTATCTGCGGTCGTCGCTTACAGTTTACCATGCAGCCAAGCTGGGCTCTGAACCGTACGTTGAAGTTCCGGTTTAAGGTTTAGGGTTTCCAGAGCTTCATGTTACAAGATTGAAATACATCCATGCTCTTCGGAGGCCTAAAGTTAGAGCCCAAAAATTACCCTTGCGCACACAAACGAGGCTTACATCAATCATACTACCCCGCACTCGCTCGCTCGCTCGCTCGCTCGCTCGCTCTCTCTCTCTCTCTCTCTCTCTATCTCTGTCTCGCCCTTGCCCGCTTGGCCGAAAACGAAGTTCATGGGTGTGCGCGTGCGCATATGTATATATATATATAGGTATATGCATGTACATCTACATCTACAGGTTGTTCCCCTGTCTCAGGCATAGCTCTTGTTACCGGGTATTGAACTCCCTGGGGATGCGCTCGTAGAGATGAAAGGACTTCGGCATGGCATGAAATGACAACCGACGTCGAGGTCCGCGCAAGCACGAGGGAAAAAGTCTGACTCGACTGGTCTTTGGGATACCAAGTTGAGGCGCTCAAACTAAGCTACCTTAATTTGGTAGTTTCCCAAAATAAGGGGACCCCAATATAGACCCCAAAATGCTACTGTATAGTCCTGATTATAGGGGCCCTTACAAGGGTACCCCGAATTTTGGGAAACTATATATACCCCTATATACCCCTAAATAACCCTATATATCCCCTTTAAAGGGTACCCCTAATATGGGTTTAGGGCCAGGCTCTCAACCTGCAGTAGCGGATAAGCGGATAGGAGTTCAGAGGTTTGTGGTTTGGACCTTGGAGGGGTTAAGGAGGGAGTCGGAGTTCGGAGGTTAATGTTCTAAACAGCCTGCAGCCGAAGGCCGTTAGCCAAAACTGGGGTTTGGGGTTTAGGGGGTTTATTGTTTAGGGATGGGTCTAGGGTTGCCCTCCGTCAGACGATTGCACCTGGTACACATTCAAAAAAAGTGTTGCGCTGAGTTTGCTCTTGAGTGCAGAGGTGTTAGTCTTATCAGAGCGGCTGTTCGGGGATTTTGGTAGCCCCCACCCTCGAATTAGGACCTCATATTGAAACAATGCTATGCTGGGCATAGGGTCCTTGCTGAGCTGGGGTTACAACGAGATCCCTTTGTAATGGTAGAAGGATTCCTCTTAAATCCTGCAGCCCTAAACCCCTAAACCGTTGGACGTTCATCCGCAGCCATCCCAACAGCATGTTTCTGTCTGCTGCTGAGTTGGAATCATTATCAGTTAGAGTTCGAGGATTTGGGTTTAGGGTTTAGGGATTTAGGTAACCCCAACCATTATGCTACGCATGACCACAATTATCAAAGTTTAGGGTAATCGTGGTCATGCCCTGCAGGATGTTCAGTACCAGCCTAATGAACGTCATGTAGGCTGCTGTTGCCGATTGTCTTTTTTCCTGCGAAAAGCTGCGCAGACACGGGCGTTTACCTTTCTCTGTGTTTGGCGTGTTTGGACTTCGGCTAGGAGTGTGGTCCTTGTTGTGCATTCCGTAAGTTGAGCGGCCAGGAAAACCATAGATTGGCCCCAATCCCTTGGCCCTCAAGCCTGTATTACCCCTCACCTTACTAGGCTTCACTGGTGTTCTGCCAGATGTTGGTTCTGCACAGCTGCTTCTCATTCTGGCTATGGGCGAATCATGTGCAGGCATTGCTTTCCACTGGATGCATGTCCGTTGCAAGACGCACTACTTTGAATTTGACTGGGCTCCTAACACTTTCCAGGAAACTCCTTGCCAAGCAGATTGTGGACGCTGAAAGTCGAGATTCTTTTGATAGCCTGACAGAGGTCGCATTTCATTGGCGGCGTGAGTTGCTGCCACATGGCTGCCCTTGTGCGCTGGTTGTCGCTTGCGCGTGGCGGCATGCCGCATATGCGCACAGTCTTGAGAACGGCTTGACGCAAGACGCTTTCCTTACGACTTTTCACAACATGGGCAAGCAAGAACACATTCTGGCAGAAGCTTTGCAGACTTGTCCATGGGAGGAGGCCAGACAATGGCCAGTGGAACAGGCCATGCACATGTACCAAACCATCATGGGGCTACTGAACATGCGTGTGAAAGAAGTGGTGGAGTGGGCTGAAGGTTGGGGCAAAGAAGAAATCACTGACGAGCAGCATTCGGCTGCATTAGCGGATGCCTCGGCCGTGTTTGGGTCACTGGGTCTCGAGTGGTGGCCTTCCCGTGGGACACTGATTGCCCTGCTGCGTCATGGGAAGCGCAGCGGGTTGCTGTCAAACGGCAGGGTGGGGCTTTCTCAAAACAAAAATTTGTTGGGGGGTCTCCTATTTTGAGTTCTCTGTATGAAGGATTTTACTATTTTGTGGTCTATGTTAGGGGTGCCTTAGTTAGGGAAATTGCCAGGTGGACGTAGTGGATCATGACGTTGATGTGATGGTCGGATTGGCATCTCATCGTGACTGGCCGAACTTTCACAGCTCCGTTCAGCAGATGCTTGTGCAACGGGGTTGGCACAATTGCGTGGAGTGGTATTCGACCAGCGCAACACAGCGTTCCTCAGGTTCTCTGGCACATGGGCTGTCCCGAACAGACCTGCTCATGTGCACAAGGAAGAATCCCAAAGTTTCTCTCGACATCGCAACATACATCACCGAAGGTTCCGTTGCCTATGCCCAGAAATATTGTGTTGCCGGCCACGGCATTTCTGGATGCTGGTATCCCCATGAGGGGACTCTGTACCAAGGCTTGGGAAAGTTGCGGACATCTGCAATCAGGCCACTTGGCCGCTGTAAAGCCGGCTCCATCTCGGTTCCCTGCCCCAGGAAGCCGATGGAGATCCTGAAAGCGGTGCTGCCTGTGGACAGCAATGCGAGCTGCCTAGCTCTGCCGGATATCGAGAAGCGGAGGCAACGCCAAACACGAGGCCGAGAAGGGCAACTTTTTCGAGAACTCACCCAGGAGGACGTGGATATTTTACGATCTCGAGCAGCAGAACTGGACAGAGAAGGGTTTATGTCCATGACTCCCTATTTGGATGCTTGCTGGCAAACCCAGAAACCCAGAAAAGGGGCTCAACCAGACTACCAATTGCAGGGATCTTCAAAAATTCGGAGTCCGTTTATAAGGGTTCATTATCCTATTTGGATTTATAATCACCCCATATTCTTGGATTTCCGAATTTATGATTCTAGGAATCAGAGAAGAGAGATCCCATTCAATATATACAAAAGGATCTTCTTGAATATTTTATAAACCTTCTGGATAATGATATTCGAGGGAATCATAAGAATTCAATTTTTCATGATACGGTCACGATAGATTAACGACGTAATACGTGAAATGATGAGCTATTTCTCACGTATTGTCGGCCTCGCTTTTTTTGCCTCTGTGGGATGTTGGGTCCATGGGCGTTCGGCGTGCGGGCGAGCTTAAATATGATCTGGGAAGCTGACAATATACGATCTTGATTAATTTTATTCGACGATTGGAATTAGATTTCGTCTCTTTCTCTATATATTTGCTAAATAAGAGCTATAAGGAAGGGAAGAAATGATTCTTTTGTAAAAGGATATCAATAATACCTTCAATACGGTTCTTCCGTCGGTCTTTTTGGAAGCATATCAACAATATGCCCCCTGCCTCTTCTCGCTTTGTTGCGTAGTGTTATGGGTCGACTTCCTATTTGGCTTACGATTCAAGAGGATAATAGGAATATCCAATGATGATGGTTTTATTTTATCTGCTCCGCAAGGCGACATATAGAGGAAGCTGCCACAGCAATTAGAATAATTCTTCTATTCCAGCCGGAATATACGGACGATGGCTTCTGGGGAGGGAGGGTTCAAGATATTAACCGGAATTTTCGAGAAGAAATTAGATTATAGAAAAAATTGACTTGAAGTACGATCTTTCTCAGTGCACGGTTTCTCTGTTGTCAGGCGATCAGCTCAGAGGGGATATATCCGGATTCCAGGGTTTTGAGATTCAGATTAGGACGGGTAACGATATCTAGATGCTGAAAATACCGGCGCCAAGGGCTCAGATATTCATGAATGAATTCTATGATATTAGGAAGGAATAATTCGAATTATCCTTTCGCGCGATGGAGGAATTGCAGAACAAATATGGAACTGTCTATCTCTTGTAACAATATATGAAATTTTGTCAGCTGCAATTTCTTGCTAGAACCGCTCCCCGACAATTCCT